GAGAAAAAAGTTTCTGTGGTTTTAAGCCATCTAATTTGTGATACTTTGTTACGGCAGGTGTAGGAAAGTAATATAGATGTTGGTGCCAGGAAATGGGGTGCTGCTCTAACATACCTAAAAGTGTGGAAGTGGCTTTGGAAATGTGTGGTGAGTAGAGGCTGGAAGAATTTTAAGGTGCGTGATAGAAGCAGCCTGGGTTGTCTCGAAGATACCACTGGTAGAAATCCGAACATTAAAGGCCACTCGGGGTAGGTCTCAGATGGAAATGAGGAACGTGTTACTGGACACTAGAGGAGAAGCAAGCCTTGTTTGAAAGTGGCAGAGAATTTGGCTGAATTTTGCTCTACTGTACAGTGCTAATATGTATGTGTAAGAGACCGTTGGCTCTTCTGTTTGGAGAATGACATAGAGTTAGGTCAATTATTAGTAGGAAGTTGGTTATCTAGTCTTTGTCTTTCTCTACTTTTGCTGTTTTCCTTTCTTGAATATCTAATGATTTTAATGCTAATATTTGAGGCGAGTTAGGAAAAAGACAAATATTCTATACTCTGTTAGTTATGCAGGTTATTAGTTTGGTAAGGAAGAAAATTTAATTGTTGCCTATAATGACACTTCTAAGATCTCTGTGGCTTTAATGAGTTTGAATCTCATTTACCTAGTTAGTTCAAGGTAGGCTATAGTTCCTTATGGTGATACAGGGCTTTCTTCCATAGAGATTTTCAGTATCCTTTTATTACCTGGAACATGGGTAAAAACATGATACGTGTTTTAGTGTTGAGAAGAAAACTGATAGTTGAACAGTCTCACAAATTGTTCACATATGTCCATGAATGGGCAGAATTGCTAGGTTCCAAGTTTTTTGTCCTAGGCTTCCTTCCTGGAGAGTGTGAGATGATTGTCAACCTTGAGTAGAAATCCATGCAATAATTTTTTTCATTTTCATTCTGCAGAGTACGTAAAGTCAAAATGACCTTTGCCTATTGGAAAAACTGCAAAACATTAAGCTACTCTTTCTAGTTGGGAATCTCAATTTGTTGTAAATGGATTTTTGTGTGTGTGTCATTGGACATGATAATAGCTCAGCAGTAGTTTGATTATGTAATAGGTCTTCAGCTTATTGATCTGGCTGGATTCCTGTTAAATCTCTGAACAATGTAACCAGTGACCAATGTCCAGGTATAAAATATTACAGTGAATATCACCAGACTAATTTTGTAATGATATTAATAAGAGAATGATGTCTTTATCTTTAGTTTTCACCTTGTTTTCTGACCATTATTTTATTTGGTCTGTCCTTTTTCTCTATATTGAGGCCTTGCATATTTTTATTTTGTCTCAGATCTTTGCACAATGAACCTATAAAATTATCTAGGAGTTTTTTTTTTTTTTTTTTTGAGACGGAGTTTCGCTCTTGTTACCCGGGCTGGAGTGCAATGGCGCTATCTCGGCTCACTGCAACCTCCGCCTCCCAGGTTCAGGCAATTCTCCTGCCTCAGCCTCCCGAGTAGCTGGGATTACAGGCACGTGCCACCATGCCCAGCTACTTTTTTGTATTTTTAGTAGAGACGGGGTCTCACCATGTTGACCAGGATGGTCTCGATCTCTTAACCTCGTGATCCACCCGCCTCAGCCTCCCAAAGTGCTGGGATTACAGGCTTGAGCCACCGAACCCGGCCTATCTAGGAGTTTTTAAGATGCATCTTTCTCTCGGTTAGATCAAATGTCTTCTAAACTTAAAAAAAAAATTATGATTACTTCTTACCACTCTCTTGTGAATGGAGGCTAATGACAGCTCTGTTTGTCTCTGCATTTGGGTAGGGGTAATGAGATCCTTGTTCAGCTGTTGTTGTAATTTGGGGATGAGTGAGTCATTCATATGCACAAGGCTCAGCCTATTAGAAACCCTTGGCAGGACCATTAATTCCTTCTAAACCTCCCACTTTGCTCGTCAGTGCTTGTTTCACTGCATTAATAGTTCCTCAGGTGTTTCATATCGTAAACTTCTTTCAGATCAATGTAATTATTTTGCCCAGGTTCACATTTTTGCCATGTGTTAAAGCTATGTTCAGAGGTTTTATACTAACTGGCGAAGCCTCTCTGAACTTTATTCACCCAGTGGGCCAACAAAATAATACTGGATTTTCCCAGACAAAACCCTGCTGTTGTTTTCAGCTCTAGTTCTATCCCACAAATTCTCATCAGTTACAGGCTATTTTCTTTAAAACGTTCCTGATGGTTTTTATTTACATAGCAGATCTCATTCTGTTACATATGTTTAATCTACTGGAATCTTTTGGTTCTGAGAAACTTGCAGAACTGCTCCAGTTTTCAGGCAGTCTTTGCAGTCCCTAGAACATAACGTAGACTGCCATTTTTTTTTGTTTTGGCAAGGAGGCTTATGATGATACCTGAGTGCCAAAAGTGATCTTGAAAGGCTGTTTAGTCTGTTATTTTTTGAAAGTGTATGAAAATTGATTCAGGTGAGGGTTATTGACTAGTGTTAAATTTGTTAAGTGAACAGTTGGGGAACTGTGGACCAAACAACACAGTGGACCAAATAACACTACACAAACGATTTCCTAGATGAAACAGGGAAGACATATCTGTATGTACACTGGGTGAGTGGATCAGACTTCATTGTCCGGACCCGGTGGCCCGTCTTAGTATTATAGCACTTATGTTTGTTCAGTCATCTGATTTGATGTAAGGTAAGGTTCAAAGCACCATGTGTGATGTATTTTATCCAAAAATATTTAGCTTGACTCCATTGAGCACTGACATTTTTTAGATTAGTTTATAGATAATATTGGAGATAAAAATCTATACATAATACCATGAGGAAGCAGCCAGACCTGGCCTGGCCTTGTCAATAAGTCAGTGCCATAAAAATAGGGACTGTGCTAGATTCAAAGAGACTTACGGAATAAACAATTAGATACAATGCCTGGTCCTGAATTGGATACTGTCTTGGAAAAACCATCTGTATAGGAAATTTTTTGGGTTAGGGAAAATGGAGAGATGAAGTATATTTTTTAAACATCTGGTGACCAAAAAGAAGTATATGTAAATATATACATAGAAAAAGATCTGAAAGTATGTGTACTCAGGGCTTAGTGGTACTCTGTGGGTGAGGGAATTTGGGGTTTTTATTTATTTTAGTTTTGCTTGTTTTTAAATTTTCTTCAATGCACATGTCCTGTTTCTTTGTTAATAAAAGCTTGTTATTTTTTTTTTAAGTCCACACTAACCTATCCTATACAGATCAGTTATTTTAATACATTTCACTAGTTTTTTTCTTGATAAGGATTTTGTAATGTTTGGGACACATGTTTGAACCATGTCTTTAGATTCTGTGTGCATCTCTCTCTGCTTTAAAAATTTAATATTCTTTTGTGAAAAATTTAAATACATGCAAAGGAGATAGAATAATAATATAATGGTTTTCCATGTACCCATCATCCAGCTTCAGTAGTTATCAATTATGTCTAGTCTATTTCATGTCTGTCCACCATTCCTCTCCATCCACTATTTTGGAGCACATCTCACATGTCCTATCTTTTCATCCATAGAGAGTTTATCATTTATATCTAAAAGTTAACACTAAAAAAATTTTACAATACCAGTATCATAACAAACAGTAAATTCGTGGTATTTCCTTAATAAAATCGAATATCCAATCATTATTTCCTTTTCCCAGTTGTCTCATGGTCATTATTTTCTCTAGATGATTCAAATTGGTACAAGAAAGCTTTTTTGGTTTACAGGTTTCTCCATCCTCTCCCACCATTTTTTTTCTTGCACTTCATTTATTGAAGAAACTGGGCTCCTTATCTTCTAGAATTTTTCACATTGTGCATCTTTCTGCATGCTGTCTTAACCTTTCAGTGCCCAAGACTGCAAACTGTTCTCTAGACTGCATCTGAGCAGGGTTGCTATTTAAAGCTTACAGAAATCTATACAACATAGTCAGTTGTAATACCGGGAACTTTTTTATACCCGAGCATTTTCTTTTCTATTGAATTAAGGTTTTGTGCCAGCTTTTTTTTCTAGGAGTATTGTGTATGTGTGTGTGTCCACATGTCTACAACTAGTTGCTCACACAGATGCTACTTGAAAAATCACACATGCAAGTTGTAGAAATTTGAGCCTGGAGAGTGTTAAGAGGGCACCTGAGAGGGCACTCACAGAAAGCTATCAAGGGCAGATGAAGTGGCCTTGACTTTGTCAGCAATTTGTCTCCTCTCAATATTTAAAAATCAATTCGTGTCAATATATCACCTCAGAACATTCATGAATCACCTGTCTGGATGGTTTTGTTCATAACATGTATTTCTTCCAAACTCAAGTTGTGAATAAGAAGTACTAAAACAAATTTGGACTTGGAATGGTTTTCATTATTGTGGAGAATGGAACCATATGTGTAAATGTAGTACCACATAACTTCATGCTCCGTTTCACAAGCCATTGTCCCTCACTGTGTGTAATGATACTTTCCTAGGAATGTGTGTCTAAGTTAAATAGTTTTAAATGATGTCATACTTTAATTCCTCTAAAAAAATTAAAAAATAAAGCTTACAAACATAGTTACTAGTCAGTTACTAATATCTGGAATGTGTTTGTAAAATCCATCAATTGAAAGGAAGAGTTGATTTCCATCCTGAAGTCCTTTGAGTTTAATCAAGCTTACAGCCTTGATTATTACAACTGGGTGAAACTGCTATTGAAATAAGATACTTAGGGGTAGATTTTAGAGATGAGTTCCACAGATGTTTAGGTAGCTGCTTGCCAGATTTTCTTTTCAATGATTACTGAAAAGTTTACTCTGAAAGAACACTCTCGTATAGTGTGATTCTCTTAAAATAATATTTAATATCGTCAGACAGCTTTGTCTATAAGTTGCTTTTTATTGCTGTACCTATGTACTACTTTGTTTTACTGGGAAGCCTCCTAAGGTCAGGATTTCCACTGCCTACTTACTGATTTGTCTCTAATGATTGCAGGTTGAAGATGACAGCGATGCAGAGACCCATGGGGAAGAGAATGATGAACAGGGAAATTATTCTAAAAGAAAGATTGTCTCTAACTGGGATCGATATCAAGATATTGAAAAAGAGGTCAATAATGAAAGTGGAGAGTCACAGAGGGGAACAGATTTCAGTGTCCTCCTTAGCTCTGCAGGTATGAATTCCAGTTGCATGCATACCGCTTGGTGCTGTAAAAGTTGCACGGACTTTTTATTTGTATTTTTAAATTCCACTGCTATACCTAGCAATTTATCCTTTGTTCTTCGGATTTTAAATTCAAGTGAAGGACAGTGTTTCTAATGGCTTGTGAAGGGGAAAAAAAATGATGTTTCTTTAAGTGGAAGTAAGGGTTTCCATGTACTGATGTAGAATGACTAAAGTCTTTGCGATAGATAAAAGGCTTTCTATAAGTGGAAAAAGCTGAGCCATGCCGCTGTAAATTTGATAGTCTGAGAAACGTAAATGTTTTCTTTGATATTAGAGGAAACATTACTTAGATTTATAGGAAGCATTATAAAGTTTCTAGAATATTTGTTCTCTTTTTTCTTCCTTAAGTAGCCAGGCATATGCATAGTAGTGGATATGCACATATTGGAGCCATATGCACTTGAACACCAAAAATTCTTTTTGCTTTCGCTTTTGAATAGTCTTCTCTGTCAATACAGTGAAAAACCCAGTCTTTCCATGGTCAGCTGTAATCTAAGATTGATTGCACCTTGAGTGATGCGATGCTGAAGAGCAGTAACAGGGAATAATGGAGAAGTACTGGGTGTATAGATGGATGCAGGGTCCCTACTGGGGTGTGGGTAAGAATTTAAAGAAAAAGTGGAAGATAGATTGGTGATTTCCAGGGGTTGGAGATGGGAGAGTGGGAGGTGGATGTGGTTATAAAGGGGCAGCATGACAGATCCCTGGGATGCTGATACCGTTTAGTATCTTGACTGTTGTGGCAGATACACAAAACTTCACAGGTGATAAAATTATATAGAACTGAATATAGAACACGTGCACAAATGAGTATGAATACATCTGAATAAGACTGGCAGATTGTATCAGTTTCCGTGTCACCCTCTTCGTTGTGATACTATATTATGGTTTTGCAAAATGTTATTAAGAGTAGCCGGGCAATGTGTACAAAGAGATTGCTCTGTATTATTTCTTTACAACTGTGTGTGAATCTGCAACCTACCTCAATAAATAATTATTGCCAGGTTAAAAACATGTAAAGGAAGCAGATGTGAGAAGCAAAGAAGTAAAACAAAAATAATACTTTGGGACTGGAACTGTCTCATCCTCGTGACTTTGATGTTGCTGTCTAGTTCTACCCTTCTTTATCTGCCTGTATTTTTGAATGCCTGCACCAGGCCTAAGAACAATGAAGTGATGCATCCTCTTTTAACTTAATAGAATATGCTTTTCTGAGCAGGAAAGAGGTAGAGAGATCATAAAATTGTGAGTCAGAAGCACGAGATTCAGTTTCGTGTCATTACCATAGGTGATTCAAATAGCATAATGTCTTTGGGCTTGTGGATGGCTCTCAACTCAATGACTGTTCAAGGACTGGTAACACTAAATAATTTTTCCAGTCAAATGAGTGCTTCCCTCTTGGTACCTATATTTTGGCTAGTTATGGGTTTATAAGCGCTTTGCTTCAAGATGAGAGAAGAGGAATGAAGGTAAAATATGGGCTGGTTAGTTTTAATTCTTATCAGTTGTTCTGCCAAAAGATCTAGGGGGACAAAATTGAAGTAGTTCCGAATGAAATTAACTGGTGGACTAAAGTAAATTTAATTCAATCAATTATTTATTCAGTTACCAGTATCTGCCCAAAAGGGATACTTTATAAATGTTGGAAGACAGTTAAAAATTCTAGTCTAACTTACCAGGCCTGTCCTCTGGATTATGATTTTGGTTATTTAACATTTTATTTATAATTGAAAACCTGGCATGGTTTGGGTCTCTCATGTATTTTTCTTGTAGTCTGTCTTTGCTTGCTGGTTTCTTCTGAAGAGGCTTGTTTACCTGTGATTGGCTTTTTTTGGTGATTGCAACTGTCCTGTCTTTTGATAGGTACTTAAATTTCTTTCCCACTCCGTTGCTAATTTATCAGTTTCTTCTCAATATAAGCCTGAGAAGAGCTGCCATGTTTCGTCATGCTTAGCGCCATAGTGCTATATTGGTTTACTTTCGAGAGGTAAACTTCATTCTCTGAAAATAAAAATTCTAGAGTACGTAGTGTTCTCTAGGTAAGCTGTCCATACTCCTTGGAAGGATTCTGCTTCCCAGTGTACTATCCTTGTTTGTATAAACAAACAACTGAGGAAAAAATTGCTGATTCCTTAGGCATGCAATCATAAACATTTCTAGATATTGCCAAGTTGCTTTCCACAGTAAAGATGAGCTAGAGTTCCTAGTGTTTGGCATCTCTGCCAATTCATAGTACTGTTGGACTTTTAAATTGTGACCAGTTGATTGAATCATATCTAGTATAGTTAATTCAACAGATATTTAAGTGCCCACTGTTCCAGGTATTGGCTTAGAGGCTGGGCATAGAGCGGTGAATAGAACAGATATAAACACCTGCCTCGCAGAGTTGAATTTCTAAAGGGTAGAGACAAACAACAGTACACAAAATGTTAAATGCCATACTTGCTTAGGATAGAAAGGGAGGGCTGTTATCATTTTAGAAGTAGCCAGGGGTCTTACTGAGAAGATAACATTTGACCAAAGATCTGAAGAGGGTGAAGGAGCAAGTGAGGATGTCTGGGAAAAGTATCCCAGGCAAAGGGAATAGCAAGCTCAAAGGCTGTGAGACAGGAGGATAGGAAATCACAAAGAAGGCCAGTGCGCAGAAGCAAAGTAGGCAATGAATTGGGAAAGGCAGCCAGATCGCCTAGTATTGTAGACCGTGGTAAAGATGTTTGCTTTTACTGAGTGAGATGAAAAAACCAGTGGAGGGCTTTGAAGAGAAGAAGTGATACAGCTAACTCCTGTGTTAACAGGATCACTGTGCTGTGTTGGAAGGAACTGATGACTGGCAAAAGGGGAGCAGGTAGACTAGTTAGGAAGCCACTAGTACTACTAACAGCAGGTAGACTAGTTAGGAAGCCACTAGTAATAATCCAGGCAAGCAGTGGTGATAGGTTCGGGGTCCAGAGGAGAGCTGTGGAGGTGATGAAAAGTGGCTGGGCTCTAGATCTATGTAGAGGGAAGAGCAGAGAGCACTTGAAAATGTTGGGTATGAGATAAAAAGGATGACACTAAGTTTTTGGTCTGAACAGTGAGAAGAAGGGAGTTGCCATTAACTGAGGTGTATAAGTTATAGGTGTTAGTGTTGCACGTGTTAAAATTGAGATGTCACTTAGATACCTGTTGCCATCAGAATTCCTTAAGAAATGGCTGGCACCCTCCATATAACTGGACATTTTGACAAAGGAACCATTTACAAAGGTATGTGTGTAGTATAGTGAAAGCATTGATGTAGTGCTGTGTCGGGAGGGTGAGTAGCAGCATGTATGTTACTAGTTACTGGAAATTTGAAGAGGGTCATAGAGAGTTTGCCTTGGGAGAATGAATCACCTTCATTGAGGGCACTCAGCCAGTGAAGATGATCTTAAACTTAGAGAGTCAGAGGAATACACATTCTCTTCCTGTCTCTGCCAGGGCTTCCATAAGCCTAACCTGCTGGAAGCCAGAAGACAAAGGAAGTTGTAGTCCATACTGGTCAAGCTTCTAGGGCAGAACTGGATGGAGAAGGGTGGAGGATAAGTCTGCATTGGCACATGGAAGAGACCCAGCACAACATCTAAGACGAGACATGGAGCAGGCTGCCTGATAGAGGAATGTAGGGTTCAGAATCCAGGCATGGGCTGGTGATAGTACATTTGGGTGATGCCAGCCTTTAGATGATATTTAAAGTCATAAGAATGTATGAGATGACCAGGGGAGTTATTACCTAGAGAAGGGCTGACTTCTGGGCACCACACTGTCTAGAGCAGGCGTCCCCAAACTTTTTACACAGGGGGCCAGTTCACTGTCCCTCAGACCATTGGAGAGCTGCCACATACCGTGCTCCTTTCACTGACCACCAATGAAAGAGGTGCCCCTTCCTGAAGTGTGGCGGGGGGCCGGATAAATGGCCTCAGGGGGCCGCATGCGGCCCGCGTGCTGTAGTTTGGGGACGCCTGGTCTAGAGTTTAGGGGAAAGAGAAGAAACCAGCAAAGGAGACTGAGCATGAGTGGTAGAAGGAATAACCAGAAGAGTGTAGTGTCTTTAAGTGTTTTGAGACAGAAGGAGAAATGTGTATAAATGCAGTTGATGACAATGAAGAATTGACTTTAATTTAGCAAGAGGAAGGTTATTGGTGGTCTTCACAGGTGCAGTTTGTTGGAGTGGTGGGCTAAATTTTTTCTTGAATTTAAAAAGCATGTGGGAGGAGACCTTTGAGACAGCAGACATACATGACTTAATTTTAAGGAGTTTTGTTATAAAGGAAAGGAGAATAATGGGCTGGTGGAAGAAGTGGGTCAAGACTTTTTGATTTTTTTCTTTTTTTTTTTTGGCATTTCTTTTATAGAGACAGGGTCTTGTTATGTTTCCCAGGCTGGTCTCAAATTCCTGGGCTCAAGCAATCCTCCTGTCTTGGCCTCCCAAAGACCTGGGATTACAGATGTGAGCCACTGTGGTTGGCCAGTCAAGACATTTTTTAAAGATGGGAGAAATAACTACATGTTTACTTTTTTTTTTTTTTTTTTTGAGACCGAGGTTCGCTCTTGTTACCCAGGCTGGAGTGCAATGGCGCAATCTCGGCTCACCGCAACCTCCGCCTCCTGGGTTCAGGCAATTTTCCTGCCTCCGCCTCCTGAGTAGCTGGGATTACAGGCACGCACCACCATGCCCAGCTAATATTTTTTTTTTATTTTTAGTAGAGACGGGGTTTCACCAAGTTGACCAGGATGGTCTCGATCTGTTGACCTTGTGATCCGCCCGCCTCGGCCTCCCAAAATGCTGAGATTACAGGCTTGAGCCACCGTGCCCGGCCTCATGTTTACTTCTTGATAGATCCAGAAAACAGGGCAAAATTAATGTGGGGAAAAGTGAGAATTCCTTTATATTCTTTAGTAGATATGAGCTTGATAGGATCTGTTGTGCAG